TTAATGATTGCCCTTTTTGTTCACCTTCCTAACTTCATCTTCAAATTTCAGTCAACTTTCTGGTTTTCTTGAGCAGGCTTACCAATCCACCAGCCCAGCTCCTTCCCTGCACACCCTTGAAACTGTTTGGGACTGGAAGAGCTGGCTTGGAAATCACATGCATGGCCTGACTGGTCACTCCACCCCCAATGTTTTCCATTTTTTCCATGATGCTTCAGGCAAACCAGTGATCTGGGACAAAGCCTACCACACCCAAGGAGCCTACTCTGAGCCATACCAGCTTCTCACATCCATTCCAACTGGTTTGCTCCTCACTATGTTGCACACACCCTACCAAATGATATCACAACTTACACAAACCACATCAGGAGCACCTTTCACTATCCCGCCTCAGCAATTTCCGCCTGAAGTGCTTACTGAGTTGGCTGACAACTGCCATGCTCCACTGTTCCTTGAGTCTGAGCTTAGTGAGTGGGCTGATATCTTTGAAGCACATGAGGCTCTTGTTTCAAGCTCCCAACCCACCTGTGATAACTTGATTTTTGATGGACTCACAGCTCACCCCATCACTAATCCTCTCCTTGATGGTCCATTGTTCCATCTCCAAACCAGGGTCAAGGTTGTCCACACACAGACTACACCCCAAGTCCAACATTTCAACTTTGCTCCTGGTCAGTGGGTTGCTGTCCAGGCTGATGCTGATGAAGACACTCAGGACTTTTGGATATGCAAGATCATCAGCATTCTCTGTAAGAGGCTCCATGTCCACTGGTGGAACTTCACTAATGGACACTGGACTGACCATGGCTCAGAAAGCACTGTTCCAATGGGGTCTGTTTTAGCTTGTGGCTTTGACTTTAACGCCAACACTGGAGTTCCCCCACCCACCCTTCAAGAAATATTTAGACACCTGTAAATAAAACTTCTCTTCTCTGTGTACATTCAAATTCCACAGTGTTTTTATCTCATGTACACCTGTTTTTAGTTTCATTAAAAAGTACCACTATCACCTTTTTCCAGACACAGTGTTAGGTGCATGAAGGGGATTGCCATGGAGAATTGGGTGGGTGTCAGAGGTTCTGACATCACCATATCATGTAGGTCAAGTGTAAGCACACAATCACCACATAGAGCAACTTGGTCCTGCAATCAATTAGGTGTCAGACTTTGTTATCAACAACACCAGATTCAGAAGGAGAAGGCCACCAACTGGACTTTGGTGATTTCTGTCAGTCCCACTAATATTCCACAATGTTGAAAGGGAGAATCACCTCCCAGAGCTGGACCAAGCCTGCTTTGAGCTGTGATATGTGGAGGGCCTCAACATGGCCTGCAGGACATTGTCAACCAGGAGCTGGGCCAGCTTGAGACGGCTTCCCCCGCTGGGAATCACATTACACTCATAGCATCGTATTGACATGCGTACAACACTTAGGCTCAACGTTACCGTCTGCCTGATGCCCAAGCACCGTCACACGTGCAGCGGTGGATCGCCTTGGAATGTGGGCGTGCCGAAACTCCGTCTCTTTCGTTTCGTTCAATTTTTCGCTTGCGTTTCATCTTCACAGCGGAGATGGCACAGACATCATCATATCGATTTGACCATATTGCTGTCGGGGTGTGGAGCATTGCCGATGCCGTACCCTTCCTCGAGGATGAACTGGGGGGTATTCAGCTTTGTTTTTTGTTGTTTTGTTTTTTGACTTTTTTTGGTGTTTCTTAGCTCACAAGGAACTTCGTTTTCCCCACACAGGCAGGCCTTTGGGCGGTGCGCCCAACCCGGTGTTTGCCAGCGCGCAGTGGGAGTTTGCAAACGGAGGCGTGCTCGAGGTACTAGCCTCGGGGCTGCTGTTCGTGAGTGTACACGTTGCTGATGGCAAGTTCCTCTTCATGTGCCAGGCACTTGACCCACCGCCGTTCCTCGATGAGGCGAGCTTGAACAAGAACTTCATGCATCAGTTCCTCACCTCCGGCGGGCCGCGAGTGCATCACGTCACCTTCAAGGTTTGTTGACACACACACACTACCGCACACGCACCACTGCACACACACGGCACACACGGCACGCAATGACAGTGTGATCCAATGTAGGTGCCGAATTTGGACGAGGCGATCGCGAGCGCGGAGGAAAAGGGGTGGAAGGTGGTGGGCGTCAACAAGCAGTCACCCTCGTGGAAAGAGGCCTTCATTCACCCCAAGCAGGTTCGTTACTCTTCGTTCGTGGAACAACACTCCCGAGCGACACTACTGTGGTGGTGTTTGCAGTGCCATTCGCATTCACACGCTCACGCTCACGCTCCCTCTTGCCGCGGTACAGGAGGGAGTGGG